TGTGTGTATGTGCGTGCATACACACACATTAATGAATAGATACCAAGAAAACACTTGTACAACCATCACTCAGGTCAAGAAACAGAACACGGAATGTGACCAGCTCCCCAAAGCATACCCTGTCACCAAGCTCCTCTCTGATCATAAGCCCCTCCCTCTCGCAGAGGTAACCACTATCCTGTGGTCTCACCCAAATAATACAGTCTATTTTGGCCTATATTTGAATTCTCTATGGATGGAATCATATTACACACGTCCTTTTGCCCCATGTTGTGTTTGTGAGATTCATGCCCTGTTGCATGGTGATAGGGTGTCATTTCACACGATTAAAAATCATTTCAAATTCTCTACTGGGGGCTGGGGGTCTTCTCTCTCCCTTCAGTGTCTCATTGGTGTTGTAAAATCTCCCCACATTTCTAGGGAGAAAGATTATAAGGTGGGAAGGGGGCTGGGAATTGGGAAGAAGGTGAGGCTCAGAAGCCACACAGCCAGCAGGTGCCAGCCCAGATTCACATCCACGACTGTCTGACAACAGAGTCCAGGCTCACTGCCCCATCCCAAGGAGATGAAGCAGCTTCACACAGACCAAGGGCGTCCAGGGTGACCCGGGCTCCATACAGGGCACATCCCATACAGTGAGGACTGTAGGGATGCAGATGAGAGTGAGTTCAGGGAAGGCTTCCTGGAGGGGGCAGCAGTTGACCTTTTCTCTGACCCTTCTTCCTCCCCAAGGCCCCTGCGCCCTTAGCCCAGTATGGGGGGCTCCAGATGCTCTCACCTCTGGGCAGTGTCTTCTTGGAAATGACTTGTCTGTCTGGCCCCAGATGGGTCCTGAGACAGGTTAGAAGATGGAGTCCATGGGCCTGTGCTAGGCTCCTGGGAACACTGTGGTGACTTATCCTCTGCCCTCCCCTTGCAGACACAGCCCTGGACTGCGACCTGAGCTGTGAAGTCAGGCAGGATAGGGGCTTTGTGGACAAAGTAGGGGATTTTCTGGCTGGGCCCAGAATGGGGGATGGAGTTTGGAGCTGCTCGAGGCTGGGCTAAGAGGGATGAGGCCCCTGAGGTGTCCCCCTACCTCCCGGCTGATGCCGAGGTCGGGGAGGCCAAAGAGGAACCAGGCATGGCTGGGGGCCTTTCACTGGGAGAAAAATCATCACCAAGAATTTTCAAGCACACAGGTGCCCAAACCTTCCTTTGAAGGGAAAACTCCTGGATTTTCAGTCTAGACTGGGGGTCAGCAAACATTTTCTGCAAGAACAAGCTAGTAAATATTTGAGGCTTTGAGAGCCATGGCGACTCTGCTGAATTACTTGGTTCTGCCACTGTGGGATGAGAGAGCTGCAGGCAACACGGAAACAAAGGAATGTGACAGTGTTCCAATAAAACTCCACTTAGAAAAACAGGCAGTGGCTGAGCCAAATGTGGCCCTTGGGCAGTAGTATGTCAAGACCCTGATGTAGGTGAAAAGGGAAACCTACCAAGGATGAAACTAAGAGCTTTGGGCTGGACTGTGGTGGCACTTAATGCACTGGGAGCTCAGAGAAGAAAGGTCAGGATGGGTTTTGTGAGCAAGGACTCAATTGAAGTCCACTTGAGCTGGGCTCCAGAGCGATGCCAGAAGGACGACATTCCACGTGCGGGGACAGCAAGGAACAAGGCCTGGACGGAGGAATGGATCTTACAATCAGGAAGTTGCCTAGGGAAAGAGGATGTTGGCTGGAGACATAACACGGACATCCATGAAAGACAGCTGTGTAGTTAGACTTGACGGCGTGGGCACTAGGGAGCCATTTCCATTTCTTGAGCAGGAGTGGACCTATCCTCAGAGGGTGGGGTGAAGATGAACAGATAGGGTTCAGAGGCTGG